TGAGGGAAAGTGATTCCAATTTTAATAGTTTATACCTGAATTTGAAATTCAAGATAAAACGAAATTAAATACCAACTGACTAATACATTTTCGCATGTGTCCCCATTTGCACACATGCGAAAATTAATTGCGATTTTTATCTTTGATCTTGATTTTTGAGTTAAAACGTAATATGCACCTATCGCTTTTTTCGTCGGAAATAAGCTATTTAATCAGTCTTCTTTCCCTAGAGCTTGTTTTTTGGAAAAAGGGAATTTTTAAAAATTTACTGCGCATTGTGTTTGCTCTCTTGGCTTCTCAAAAATTTGGACTTTTAACAGGCACGTGTTACACGTAAGCGTCAATGGGTTTAATCTATACTGAATGAATTTTTGGCTAAAAATATTTAATACATGTAGAGAAATTTTGTTGCAAATGTTTCATTTCATGGGAGCTCCGCTTTTATTCTTGGCTAAATCTATATATTAGCATTTAGTACTTGTGCCAATTTTGGGCCGAATCAGCTTTTTGTGTTTTATCTTTCTTATCCTGCCTCGCGCGTTTTTTCCGTAATCATTGATTCCGACACTTCTTGTTACATTTAAATGAAAAACGTTCAAGGTCGTCATCCGAGCAGAATTAATTTATATTAAGCAACTGTTGTCAAAAAGATAAGTGGTTTTTTAACCTCTTCATATTTGCTTCATATTTTATGTCAAATTTCAATGATGTGTTTAGTTAATGAAACAATGTTTTGCAGCTGTCGCAAACAACTTTTTGTCCCATTGGTCAATTTTATATAAGAAAAATTAAAAGTTAGATAAGTCTTTGGTGACTCAGGTCGAGAAGAAGCGATCGATTGTGATAACGTCCATTCTATACTTCTGCCATAAGAAGAGTCAAAAAAACGTTGAAAATCATCTGTATATGCACTGCTACTAATAAAAAACCAATTGAGAAGTTATCGAGACCAAAAAAGGCGAATCATTCGTCTCTCTAGCCTGACGAATAGGAGGATGAGTGGAATTTAATCAGGTAAAATGTTCACAGCCCCGTCTATAAGTTGCACCCTGAGTAAGTACGTGTTTTAAGGTTATCCTTAAAAAAAAAAGACATAGATAGAAAGTGAATATATCGATAAACATAGACCGGTCTTTGAACATACTGCGATGTTCAACCTCATCAAACAGGGAAAAAGTCATGCCGGTAGATTTTATTCAGCTCTCTGCTTACAAACAAGTTGAACTCAGCGAACGTCTTTCCATGACAAAAATAATTGACTCAATAGTTTAGATACGATGCAACATAATAAGTCATGAGGATAACTTTTTGATGCGTTTCTAAAGACGAAAAGGGCATTCTAGCCCGTAACTGTTGTTTTACGAAGGTCTGATGAGTGACTTTTAGCTGTGATCTGAAGGATCACAGGAACACAATAGCTAAGTCTAATCCGACAAGATGTCAAAAGGAAGACATATGAACGAGGTTGGGTATGAAATTGGTAATTATCCTTTTTTGTTTTTCCGTTTGGGAATCCAACCACAATTTCCTGCCAGTTCGCTCACAAAACAATGCTTTGGAGCAGTGAATAGGTCTTATTCCATAACCTTTTCTTAAATTTTGAAACCGATGTTCAATCCTTTGGTAGAAATAACCATCAAAACGATGAATGTCAAAACGTCAGCATGTATTTTCTTTGCTAGCAATGCTTTGTAACTTTAAATTAATGTAGAACGATAAGGGACACTATTCTGGTTGTTGTAAAGCCTTTGCTCATATTCGGGGAACAGAGAGAGAGAGAAGGAGGGTGGGTCGAGAGAACGAAATGTGTAAGCGAGTGTAAAGGTAAACCATATTTCACAGTATCCTACTCTTTCGAATATTACTTGCATACAGATTGCTGGTCAACGCATGCCATCATCACTGAACTTAAATGAAGGTTGACAGCTGATGCACATAGTAGTTTTTCGCGGCAGCTGTGAATAATTTTACAAGCGAATGAGTTTCATCAATAGGCATTGTTTAGTTTGACAGGTGTATTGTTATTCATGGCTAAGTTAAAGACAATGGCTCGCTCGCCTAAAAAGCGCCAGTTTTT